GAAGCAAGTTTATTAAATTTTCTAGCAAAATTGATAAACAAATAACAAAGGTTGAAGGAGTTCAAGCAAAGGAAAAAGCAACAAGGAAAACAAAGAAAATCTTAAAGGCTACCTATAAGACTACTGTTCAGCAACTTGGACATCCCGCGACTACGGTCGCTACACCTTCAGCAGCTACGACACTCTCAGCAGTGGCATCACCTAACACTTCACCCCTAGCTGCCCCAGCCCAAGCACCAACTTCTCCGACTACTTCGCTAATGGAAGCCTAAAAGTAAAGGCAAACAAGTATTCCGGAGAAATAGATAAGGTATCGAAGTCTTTCCTAGCAAACTTAAAGTCAGGCGACCTACCAAAGAGATGATCTACATAACCTAGCTCGTAGAAATCGGCCTGACTCTGAACAGGCGAAGCCTCGAGCCCAGCCTTCTCGCCCTTCAGCTGCTCGTTATCCTTGAGTAGACCAACACAGACGTACTGCAGCTCATCCACTTCTTTCTTCAGACTTTCGTTGATCTTCAGTGCACCTTGGAGTTCCAACACTTGGGATTAAAGCCTATCAACGATCTTCTTGAAGTGGATCACTTGATTATAAGCAACAATCAACTCTTCATCCTTTGGATAAGTAACGAAACGAAGCTCGAAAACAGCACGCTCAAGATCTTGAATCTGAGGTATGTAATATCCAATCTCTTTCTCTACACTTTCCTACTTAACTTGGATCGCGTCAAGCCTAGTCTTCAAGTCAATGATCTCTTAGCGAGCGGTCTCAAGCTTCAGAGAAGTGGGGGCAGAGATATTAGATCTCTTCAAAGTAACGAGCCCAAACTCCAACTTCTTGATCTTAAGCTTCAGCTGCTATAGTCTTTGCCACCTCTTTGCCAGCCTTAGTATCCTCTTGGTAAAAAAACATAGTAAGTAGGGCAGTCATTCTATACTCAGTTGTATGCTTCGCAAAGGAACTTGGGAAATAACCCCTATAACACCATCAACAAGCTTGGTATACGCGTCCATGTCTTTAAGCAGATCTGGTTTCAAAAGCGCATAAATATCAGCAAATGAGTCTTAGCAGTGAGGGAAGTAGGCTTTGTCGCCACTTTAGCAACAGAGTCCACCTTATCACTCTTCATAGTGGCAAGCCTCTTAGAAGGCGAACTAGACTTAGCTCATGATGGACGTCTTGGCACAAATTTCGGCACTGGGGGCACGACGGAACCTTTATGCTGAGCAATCCTATCAACAATTGTACTAGCCACCTTTTGCATGGTAGGCATCACCGGCTCAGATCTAACAGCCCAATCTTTCTTCCCCTTGGAAGAAGTCAAATCAATCATAAGCCTATCGGTAGTAGATGGACCCTCACGAGCAGCAGATGAGGCTTTTTCTCAGCCAGCATCTCTTGAGCAGGTGGGGAAGATCTCTTCTTTCCACCTTCATTCACTGTAGGTTCCACGACAATTATCAGATGAGCCAATGCCTCATTCTTAATCCGCTTTATCTCCTTTCTCGGGGGTAACCCATCTTTCTCCCTGTGAAGAGGACTAAGCAGCCAACGCCATTTACGGTACTCATAAGGGATACCTAAAGTAACATGCACCTTCTTCATATCTGGAGAAGTCTTGGGAGTTTAGCCAAATTCTGAAGCTACATAAGCAGAGGAGGACAATCAATAAATCAGATAGCAACTCAACAAAAGTACAAAATAGCTTAGAGACTAAGCAGCTAACTTACCGATGATGAAAATCGTCGGAACACACAGCTCAGGGGAAAAATTAGACTCCTACTCTCCACTTATCTCCAAAATCTCCTTGGCCAGTCATGATCTCCCTTGCTCGAATGATTGAAAAACCTATGGCGGGATCGCAATTGCCTAACTCCTTCAATGTGGCCTATGTTAAAGAAGTACTAGAATTCGTTGACGATCAAATCCAAGTCGAAGAATTGGCTTAGATTGAGGAACCCCACCATCACATGAGCTGCATTTGGAAAACATTGAACGGGGGCACACTTCATGGAGCAAAGCATTTCTTGGAAGAAACGCGGTATGGGAAAAGTAAATCCTAACACGAAGTAGTAGAGGTGAAACTTGATGGCCTTCCGAGCCCCACTACATGGCTCACGACTGCTACCTTCCTTAACACGCTTCACTCGCACCCCCGACGGAATGGCATACCTATATGCCTTAAGAAAGTCTCTAAACGAGTCATTGGAGCTAGTTTTGAAGTGAGCAGCCTTGAAGTAGCCCACCTTACTCAAAGACCCGCCTTGACGATACAATGGCGACACACCATCATCACTCTTATTACTTAAGGAAGACATGCTCAAGGAAATTTTACAAAGACACGAGAAAAATTCGTTAAAATGTTGCACTAAAAAAAAAAATCAGCGCATCAGGCCTTATGGCCCAAAGACCAAGTCACGACCCAAGACTGTAGGAGCCCAGCAGCCGCGCCAGGCCCTATAGTCTAGTCTTTCCTCTCTTTAACACAGGCCTAAGCACAACGGCCGCCTCTCAATCTCGGCCCAAGCCGAGAGTTTCTTGACCTAAGCTGAGCCCCAACTCACCTCCGTGACCTATGCCACTGCACCTAGACCTCGACCCGTGCTGAGCCGCTGCCAGACCGAGCTGAGAACAACAATGCCGTGGCCCTCTTCAACCATTTTTTCACACATCCTCGACCCCCGTCGAGCCAAATTTCAAGCTCCGAGGCTCCCAAAAATTAAGAAGACAAGGAAAATTAAATTTTTTCTTACCTTGGTGTGGCGTGAAGACAAAGAAAGTAAGGAAAGACGGTCCTTTGCACGAGCAAGTGTAGAATATTGCTAAGGGAAGGGGAACAAATATCCTCTAGCTTTCTCTCTCATGTAGGGTAGAATAAATTGCTCTCTAAAGTTGATTTAATCATCTGCTTAAGGTAGACTTAAAAAGACTTTAGAAGTAATTTATTTCCCTTTCTTAGAATGACCTAATTTCCAATTAATGAGGGAACTACATCAAAATAAGAAACAATATTATGTTTCCTAAAGTAAAGGAAGATCTCTACACCTGCTGCCCTTTCCTACGAGCAACCCAATAGGTGTGGGGCCATTTATGGAGCCAAGAATAATCAATGAGGTGACAAGTGAACTTTTGAGTTAAAAATACAAAATTACCCTCAAGGCACACCGGGATTCTCACGTGCATGCAACGGACAATAACGGCTTAATCAAGGAAGAGTCAAAGGTGATCAAAATGGTTTTTATTCAAATCCCCACTCAAAAGGTAACTCCTAATTATCATTTTTAAGGATTGGTTGCCAAGTTAATGGCAAGAAATTATTTCACATAATATCTTGCAATTAAACTCATAATTCTACCAATAATGACTGATCCCTATTCTCTCCCCAAAAATTCCTAAACACTTTCTCTCTCAAATTATAACTTTGGCATCGGAAATTCTTCGGCCAAAGCTCCCCCCCATTCATAGTGGGCACGTGAAAATTTTGACCTTAATCTTAGATGTTATTATTTTGCAGGTGCATTTTCGTTAAAGGAGAAAATGACAGAAATTTGCATCCACAAATACATCTTTTTGCTGGCAGAAACCAACGGTGGCACGCCCTTCATACAACAATCACATGATTCACTAATGAAGGCCAAGGTGTGAAGCTTATAATTGAGAAACAAACTACTTAGCAAGGTACTATGTTTGTTTTCACTGGTTCGGTTCACCTCCCCACCTCTCTAATTATATCGTGTATAAAATATAAAAAATAAATTTTATTTGGACCCATTTGTTTTTAGCTTTACGCCCAACTAAACAATTTTCTTCACTTAACTTTTCAAATTTGCCCCTAAATAAATAAGGAAAGAAAAATTTCCGACGAACCCAAACCAAACGTCGGCAAAAAATTTCCTCGTGTTGGTCAATGACGGTTATTTCCTTCCATTCTTTTCTTTCCCCTTTTCCTTCTCTTTGTCCATGTTTATCATACCCTTGGGAAGAATAGGAATCATCATACTCTACTGCCGTTGGTGCTCCCATTAACTCCACTGCACATCGACCTCTCTCTCTTTTCCGATTGATCAAATCTAAGATCGCATAGAAAAACAAGAAAAGAGATCAATAATCACCAAAGCACTGACTTTTCTTCTTGCAAAAACAAATAGAGAGGTTCAATGGTTAAAGCCTCCCTTTTCTCTGTTCCTCTGGTTTCCCCAGTGGCTTCTAGAGCAATCCCACATTTTTTATTTTTTTAACTCTTTTTATTTATTTAAGGGTAAAGTTTTTTTTTTTTTTTTAAAGCAAAATTTAAGGGTAAAGTTAAAATTTTGTCAAGAACATGTGATTATTGGAATGATAAATCGACGAATGGCTGCTGATGTGATTTTGGAGGGTATTTTACATGATATCTGGCACCTTGCCAGCTGTATAGAATACGTGAAATTTGTGTTTTCTCATCACGAAACCAATAAAGCGGCGCATGCTGTAGCGGCTTTTTTTCATTGTGGTTCTTTTATTTGGAATTGTATTCGTCTCGATTTTTTTTTTAATATTCTTACTGAAGATGTAAACTTATCTATTAGACTTGATTGAATAAAATTCATCATTTGACAAAAATTAAAAAATATGGAATACACGGCATTTTTTCATTGAGTTAAATCACTAATATCAAATACGAGATATTTTTTAATTGGATCAAATTAGAAAGTTAGTATACAATATACTCGGTAGGTACTAATATTGGACTTGGATGCTCTGCTCTCCCAATTCGGTGCCCTTCCCGTGCCCTTCTGTTTGTGTGGTCACGGTTAAGCCACGTCAATATTTTATATTACTATTTTTTTTTTCTTATTATTTTTATAAAAAATAATATAAAATGTTAGCATGGATTAACCGTGACCACACAAAACAGAAGAGTACGGGAAGGGGCACCGAAATGGGAAGGCAGAGAATCCAAAGTCCACTAATATTATCCAAATAAATTTCCCAATAAAAAAGGGCCCGGGAACCCAATTTCCATTTATACCTATTGGCTATTTAAGTTTCAATCTTCCTTCCGCGGGCAAATTTCATACAATCTTAGGGTTTCTCTGTAAAGCATGAGCTTCACCCAATTCGATGGCAGTGCGGCCTTCTCTGGCGGTGGGTTCATGCCCCCTCAGGCCGCCCACTCAGGCACCGACACCACTTTCTCTTCCACCAAGGTAACTCTGGTTCCTCTCTGTTTTTGGTTCCCGAGAAACCGCCGGAAACTTGAAACTTTCAGTGCGGCAATCGGGGGTTACACCACTCTCTTTGGCTAAGAATTTTGTGGACTTCTAGGGTTTTAAATTGATGGGTAGTTTACGAAATCGTTCATTTTCTCATGATTTCCATTTATAGCAACCAAACAGAGACATAGGGATATGTGTGTTTTGTGTTCTTTGAGATTGCATTGCTCAATTACGGCACCAATGTGTATGTCTCCTTAAGAAATTACAGATGTGTGTATTATTCATAGCAATTAAAGCGCAGTTATTAAGGTGTTTGTGATTCATTTTTTCAGAATCGTGACATCCAGACACTGCTTCCACTGACAGTGAAGCAGATAACTGATGCTTGTGTCTCAGCAGTTGATAAATCAGAATTTGTTATTGACAGTGTCGACGTGAATAATGTGGGTTTGTTGTTTCTGTTTTTCTTTTTTGTTTTTAAATCGTTGATGTCGGGTTTTATTTTAACTTTTCATGTCTTCAGGTTACACTTGTTGGGATGGTGCGTGAAAAAATTGGAAGAATTACAGATGTTGCTTTCTTTCTTGATGACGGAACTGGACGGATGGAGTGTAACAAGTGGTGAGTTTTATCAAGCTTTTCTTTTCATTGGTTTGTTTGTTATATGTTAGTGAGTTTCTTGATTCTATGTGAATTATGGTTTCTCGTGTTTTGTAGGTTTCATGAAGCAAAAGACGCAAATGAAATGGAAAGAATCTTGTATGCTTCTTTCTTGCCTACCAGTTGCACCTCTTTCTGGACTGTATTTGCATTAACAAGTAGATTTTAATGTGTTTGTCAAACGTTTATTTAAAGAAAATCCTCTCTTGTTTTTCACTCTTTTAATTATAGTAAATATAAAAATACCTGGACAGCTGTTAGTTTTATACAAAAGCACTTAGAGAGCTCAATTGGAGTTAAAAAAAACCTCAACTATACACGACATTTTCTAGCTTGTTTTTAGTTGCGACATTCCTTTGATGCCATACTCCCATTGAAAGTTAGTAGGTGTGTTTCTGAAGTATTGGTTTGAAGTGTTTTAAGTGTAACATTATGAAGGGATTATATGTGGCAATTATGTAAGTTGCAAAACTGCTCATATTCTGATTCATTTTATTCCATGTTTCTAAGATATATTCTGATTTCATACTATGAATTTCATGAAATCAGTTAGTTTTTTCTATTTTCTGTATCATAAGTTGCATCCTAACACTTATCTTTGATATTAGGGATGGAATGTATGTCCGGATTCACGGACGCTTGAAGAGCTTTCAGGGTAAGAAGACCCTAAATGTCTTCTCTATTAGGTACAATTCTACACCCTTTTGTCTCATGCTTTTTACTTATGAGGATTATTCTCTTTGTCTGTCTTTGTTTTGGTTTTTTTTTTGTGTGTGGAATTCTTTGTCTTGAGGTATTAATAGTATTTTGTTTTCTTTTGTTTATTTGTCTTGTTTAATGTTAGCATTTGATTTTCCTTTTGCTTCATAATGGTCACTTTCAGTAATTGTTTATTTCTTACATAAATGTTATGCTTGAGAATTCTTCATGTCTAGTTTCACAATTCAATTTATGTTAGAAGATGAATAACCATCCCGTCGTTAGAAAGATTGAGTCAACGGAATCACTTGAAATTAGGATGAAAATGCAATGGTTGATATAAATTGTCTTGGAAAAAGATTAATTTTAGGGAATTGTTATTAGCACTCCAACAATCTCATTTGGCACTCCAAACTTTCTATAACTAGAAAGAAAAATACACTTGTGAGGAGTGTAAAATGAGTTTTTTGGAGTGCTAATAATAGTTCCCTAATTTTAAGGCAAAATTAATGGTAATTATTATATTGGTATTTCTGAGCTAAATTTCTGCCTGTTAACTTTTCATGCATATGTGAGAGAATATTAGCACAGCTGCAAATGAATAGGTTTTTCATTTCGATTCTATAAAGTTAGATTCGAAGAATATTTTGGTTCATCTTGTGGAAGTAGTTCGTGACCTATCATTTGATATCTGGGACAATATGAATGGAGAGAATACAAAATTGAGTAAGCAGCAATTCCTGGTTCTGACTAAAAGAATGTTTTACTTCTATCTTTTTGTTATCCTTTTTTGAAGAAGGAGCTTCATAGAGGTTACAAGGTTTCTTGTGATATGGTACAGGTGAAAATAAAATGTCTTATAGCTTGTATGCTTGTATCTGACAGTGTTCTAGTTGTAAATTGAATTTGAGGTGTACCATGTTTTGATTGTCTTACCGTCAGGAAAATTCCATATCAGTAATATATCAATACAATATGTTATACCAAGAATGTCCTTACCGTCAGGAAAATTTCATTCTAATTGTTTGATCTGGCTTTTAAGTTGTGACCAAATACTTGCCCTAGGTTTCAGAACTTGAAAATTACTAAGTTGTCATTGGATGACTTCATGAAGCAGGGTCAACTTAATTAACCAACCAATACTTCTGATATTATTTATATTGAGGTTTCGAGACTGAAGTTGGTGTAATGTTCAGGCCTGTGAGTGACTATAATGAGATTGCCAGCCACTTCATTGAGTGCATCTATGTCCATTTATACAACAGCAGATTACGGGTATTGGTCTACCCACTGAATATGTGATTTTAGCTTGGATTGTGTAGTTACATTGATTTGGAAGTATATGATGTGATCTTCTGATGTCTCTGTTAATGTTGTGATAGAAACCACCTGCTGATTTTGGTGTCACAGCGCAACCACATATGACATTTCCAACAAATCAGGTTAGATGTTTAAATATAGATTTTAATACTATATATTTTTTATTGTTGCCTTACTAGCCCACTTCATTGTTCAGTTATCTGGCCAATATAGCTTCGATGGACAGAGTAGCATTGAAGTAAAGGTCTTAGAAATTTTGAGCCACCCTTCATACCTGTGAGTACCTATAACCTTGAAAATAGTTATGTATATATTTTTTTATAAGCATATTGCTGTGAAGCAACCCAAGTGGCAAAACAGGCTCAATATTTAGCAGGTAGTTTTGTGTTACCGCCAAAACTCCCTGAAACTAAAATCAAACCCAATGAAAACAAATTGTTGATATTGTATGAGTTTTAGCAAACATCTTTTAGCATATTACAATTCCCATGTTGTATGTTTTCCATGGCCTTGTATTGGTTTATAAGGTTATTCTTCTATCTTGTGGGAAGGAAGATGGCTATTTTGGAGGGGGCATGGAGGTTAGCATATCCATTTGGTTGGGTCAATTTATCTCTATTTCAGACAAGAAAAGCTTAGCCAAGAGATTTGGTGTATTTAATTGATGAGTGTTGCAAAAACAGAACAAAATCTTCTACCATAAAATTTATATTTATGTAGATAATGCGAGTCAGTGATAAATACTTATTTGAACTTCGAATGAGATAGTGATACATATGGGCCCATGAGAAGATAGTTTGTCAAATTATTCGCTTACTGGGATATTACTCAGAACTCCACACACATAGGGCAAAACCGAGCCCTGAGAAAGATTGTTTACTCATCTCGTATTCTGTTCGATTATGGAATAATTCGGTTTAGTTTTTCTTCTTGAGCACTAATCTTATGTTAATAGGTCAGCGACAAATAATAATTCTAAATTCGTCTATTAAATGCATAGTGCCCCTTCGTTTCATAGTTGCTTATATTTTTTTACAAGACTGGCTATTACTTGTTGGGTAAAACTCAAGAATGTTTATGTGAGTGGCATTTCTATTTTGTGTTAGATAAAAAAATGTTATGGAATATTCGAGGTCATTGTCAAGTGGCTCAAGTTCTCAGATTGAAATTAGGCTGCCGCCTTGTATAGTGCAACAAGGTGTTTCATTTTCAAGTTCTCAGATTGAAAATAGGCAAGGGAAGGGGTAGGATGCGCTTAAGAAGTTCTGGCATGCAGATTATGGATGTGCTAAATGCATACATATGCGTAGATAATTGTACAGTAGTGTTGATTTGTTTCTTTTGTGTGCAAATGTGTGAAATCCAGCATGTAAGCGTTTCCTTTTGTTTCCTTTCTTTTTCGCATTGAATTGTAACTAGCTTTGCATGTTTCCAGTGGAAGGGAAGAGGGGGCGCACCTTGAGGATATAGCCCGACAACTGAAAATTCCAGCGAATGATCTCATGTCTCTCTCTCTCTCTCTCTCTCTCTCTCTCTCTCTCTCTCTGTGACACACACGCCCACGTGCACGCTCACAATTACCTGCACACTAAACCGATATCTGAATCTTACATCTTGTGGCCATCGACAGGTTAGCTATTGACAATCTTGTACAGGAAGGCAAAGTTTACTCAACAGATGACTTTCACTACAAATCAACTGCGAATGCTTGAGTTACCTCTATATGACAGTTTTAGCCTCAATTAGGTTGCGCTCTTTTACGTTATTCTGTGAAGCCTTGATGGTACAACTAGAAACGCGAGATATACAGAGGATTGCATATTGAAGTAGCTATCAGCACTTTTTTGCCTTTTGTTCGTAGAATCCAAGTATCTTAACTGTAGAAAGCTACTAATAGTGGGGAATTCGTTTTCCACCTGAGCAGTCTATTCTTTTTGTGTTCCATTTGTACATATTCTCTTTTGGATTGATTGTCCAATTCCTCTACTAGATTTGCACGAGGTCACGCAGTTTATGAACACTTGGATGCCTTTGGTTGGTTGAGTTCGAGCTCATTTCAAGCTTGATAAAACTCATTAAGTTTAACCTCGGGCATAAACTAAGCCCTCATACGGTTGGAGGAACGCCACCTCTAGTTTGTTCAGATTACATTACGCGGTTAAATTGTTTGTTTAGACTATTCCAAATTAGAAGAAAACGAAAAGAAAAAAGGAAAAGTAAATTTCAAAATTTCACATGTGCATCCGGTTCTTATTTTGGTTAACAATGCACACAAATTTGGAGTTTTGATTTGTTTACCCTCTAGTCTCCCTTTTACGAAGGGTTCATTCTTTTGATAAACATAAATGGGGCCCACAACTATGAATTGAGGTTTACAAAATAAACAGTTCGGATCGTTGAAGTTTAATGTGAAGTGAGCCATGTAGTTCATATTTTGATCGGTGATCTCTTTAGTAAAAAGTTTGTATATATAAAGATTCTATTTATCATGAATTTTGTTTTCATGATCATCAAATGTTCTATTATTTATGAGCATTACTGGGCTGGTTTGGTATTGCTGTGCTTTAAAAAAAAACTGTTGTAAGAATAAGCGGCTGTGCTGTGAGAATAAGCGGCTGTGAAATAAATCAGCAGAGTGTTTCGTAAACTTTTTTGTAAAAGTGTTTTTGGAAAAAAAAAAAAACAGTTTGATAGTGGGTCTTTTCATTAAAGGAATACTGTAGCTATGTGTGCTTTGACAAAAAACCAGTTTTCCAAAGCTGCAAATAGTAGCTTCAACTTTTTCCTTTGATTTCAGCTTATTTTCACAGCAACTTTCAAAATAAGCCATTTTTTTTTTCAGTTTACCAAACACCTAAAACCCTCACAGCTTTTTTCATGGGTGCTTTTTTTTTAAGCACCTCACTCTCAAACCACCCCTTAGAAGTTGAAGTTTATATCAACAACGATTGAGATTAAAAAAAATTAAAAAGTTAATTCATTTAATCTTCTCTCTCTTGATATCATCAAATTAAAGACTCAAGAATTTGTAGCTATTCATTTGACTAACAGAAAGAGTTTATCAGTAGTTGAAAATCAAGACAAACCTTGTATCCAGAGGGCCCACGCGTCCACACATAAAGACATGTTTCAAATCAGAGACAGTCTTTTATCCCCACATCACAGAATGTAGATACAATATAAATTCATGGAAATGACAATAATGGTATCTAGAGAAAAAGAAATAACAAAATTATAAGAAAATAAATAAAATGCAAATAAGAAAGGAAAGAAAAAAAGAAGAAAGAAACATGAAAATGTCATGTGAGATGTGATGATGAAGAAATAATAAAGAAATGGAGCGCGAACGTGAGGAATGATTCGTTTCTCTGACCACAAACGCACCACCATGCACACTGCACATTGCTTTTTTTACTACTTTAAGCTTTGTTTGACCGTCGACATAATTTTGGGCTTTCAAATTGTGATATGAAAGCCAGCCAATTTCATCATACTAAATTTTTTTTGAGCTTTTAACTATAATTTTTTAATCAGAAACCAAATGCAAACTCTAATGCAAGTTATAGATTATCCTGGTAGTTAATATCTTTTTTTTAATTCACTGCATTTCGGATTTATATCATCACTTAAATGTTAATGAAGGTAGTTTAAAATATCGTTAATACTAAATAAAACTCAACTCCGCTAAGCTCTTTGCCAATCTATGCTTTCTCTTCCCTTTTCTTTCTGAATGTATACGAGGCTTCAGCTTGAGAACTAGTTCACTTGCAATGCACACTTTCGTAAATTTATGGGGAATCTACCGCTTTTGGGTTGCTTAGTGTAAAAGCAGTTTTAACGCTTATCCGGGTTTTGAGGCTCTGCCCTTATCTTCCCAACCTGTGTTGTGATACCTAATCTTTGTTTAATTACTTTTCTCATTCATTCATGTGGAGTTTTCTTTGTCCTGCAGCTTGGATTTTGGGTGGTTGGTCAACTTGGTCTCGTCCTTCACTCACCACGCGCTAGCCTTTATATATTAAACACTTGGGGGCAGGTGGCCGCAGCCTCCGGAGGAGAGGTGGCATTTGGCTTCTCAGACAGCTTACAGAGAGAGAGAGAGAGAGAGAGAGAGAGAGAGAGAGAGAGAGAGAGAGAGAGAGAGAGTACCCAATAACCAACATTGAAAGATATAAGATTGTATTGGATAGTTTATTATAGGGGTGTTTCTTTTTATTACACACTTCTTAATTTTTTTCTTTTGATATTTTTCAATTTATCTGATGTGGTAGTTAAAAATTAAAAGAGTGAGTAAGAAGTAAAAATGAGGTGTGTGGATGTCATACTCTTTATTATATTGTTGCAACAAAGTGTGATGAACATTATTTAATTTGAATCAACTTAAAATATCCCGTTTATAAATAAAGATGAATATATTGTTAGATAGTTCTTATATTGTAATCAAACTGTAAATTTGGATCACAAATCAGACAAAGCAACTGAACCGATAACATAGACATCTTAAAACTTTTGAGACTTGCCACACAATCTAAAAAGAAAGCACTTTTACTCATGTTAAGATAGAACCTTCATGTTAAAAATGGTTAGAAAGTTAGTAATGTGGTTTAATTTTATGTTAGTTTACTCTAAAAAAATGCTATACTTAGTACACCCCTATTTGTATTTGTAAATTTTATCTTTATTCTGTTGTATAAATTGCGATGAGAATATGTAATGAGTATGCACTCTACTCTAAATTTTTAGGTATTTTCATATTTCTACTAGTGAATTGTTGAAAGTTACTTTACTATTTGTTATTACTTTTCTGTTCATTTTAAAACTAAGTCTTTGTATTTATATCACTTGTAATTCAATAAATTTAATATCACTAAATCCAAAACATAATCTTTCTATTTAATAATTATCTTGGCAGTGTGTAGTATACATTTTTTACTTTTATATCTTTTCCTTTTTGATTTGTTAACAAAAATTTAACAATCGGAGGAAGATAGATTGAATATTACAATATGAACCAGAAGCAAATAGAAAAGATCGACGGCATGGACCCTCAACAGCACCAGGAGGAGGAAAGGATCTTGATGATATATAATTTAAGAGGTAATAAGTTGAGTGAGAATGCATGCAGCACAGCACAGCACAGCAGCAGCAGCAGATGGAAGAGCAGCCAGCACAGCAGGCTTTCTGGGACGACTGGAGTACGTAACGTAGTCTCTCCAGGTACCACATACCGGCCCTATAAAATTACTTGTCACCACCTCATACCATAAAGATATTAATTAATATTCACAATCCGATTTTTCATTTCATGCATGCAGGACGACACGTACGCATCACATTTATAAACAAACATATTCGCAATGCACACGTGTCGTTGAGATGACATGCAAGCATGTGAATCCCATTACCTAATCTATCCTGTCGCAGATCAAGCCACCCACACCTCCACCGTCTCTCTCTCTCTCATCTCTATAAATTCTTTGAATGCTAATAATATCACGTATGAAGCGATAAGCCAAAGTATAGCTGATTAATCTCCACTCTATTTGTTACTTATTTACGTCCCTTATCTATCGTTCCAAAAAATAAGCTATTGCTTTGATGGTAAAACCATATAGGTCTTTCGAACAACACATTTACACTAATCACATAATTAAGAGAAATGCAAGCAATTTTTGCATTTAGTCATCCTCACTTTAACATATTAATATAACATATTGTTTTTACATAATATATATATATATATATATATATATATATATATATATATATATATAACGACCTTTAGACACCAGTTGTAGCTGGTTTGTGTTCCCTTCGAGTTTCATACCTGCCAAACAGGTTTCATGTAAATTAACTGGGTATGCACAACAATGGAGAAGTTTAGAAAATGATCTCCAACAGCGTGTTTAAAATTTGCTACTTAACTTTGATAGACTTATATCGCAATTTGAAAAGTAAAATTTGTTATTTGAAGAGTTCGCATTCCAACAATCTACTTGAATTTGATTATTTTTATTCTTCTTTATTCATTATCTATATTTATAATTTTGTCTTCTCTCTTTGTATGGATATTAAAATTAAGTCTTCTTCAATACCAAATATTAATTACTAGAGCCTAATTGTCCAAGGCTTCAATATGCAAAGTAAAGGTGATCGCTATAGATTCCCTAACTCATCTCTGATTATTACAAATTCATCTACTACATCACCATTGCGATGGAGGCTACAATAAAGACTGGAATAATAAATTGATATCCAACAATTCATCGATAAGATTTGAAGAGAAGACTTCACTTAATCCTATAGAACCAAGTTGTGATCATTTCAACTAATAAAAAGAATAAAGGAAGGATATGAGGGGCTGCAATATGTGTGCTTTAAGCCTTTAATTAACCAAAATCTTCCCAAACTATAGCAAAGTGGTCGACATGTGACCAACTTAAGGTCACCTAGAATTAAATTGAAGGTATAGTGATTATGTAGTAGTCTAGGAGAAGAGAGATTGAAGCTATAACGTGGCAGATGATTTCTACGCTCTTATAACAATTGTGACGGGTCATTGAAAGGTGTCATAACTCAGTTATTGTTAAGTGGTAACAAATGAGAGAATCATTTTTATGAAAGGAAAAAAAGGAAACGAAACGCGGCAATGGAAGAGAGGAATTGAAAGGATTTTGATCACCAAGTCCAAAGGAAAAGTCCTACACACCATCCTACTTATGGGTCACGGTGTCCCCTCGCTCTCCTTCTTGCTTCCCTATGTTCATACACATAACATCACCCTATCTCTCTCTCTCTCTCTCTCAAACAATCAAAAAATAGAATAAAGTAATGCTTTCTTCGGTCAAGACCTAAGGAGAAGAGAGATAAATAGCCACCGCTCAGTCATCCCATCAAAAGCTTCCACTTTGCTTTCTTGCTCCCTCTCTCACCACTTGTTCAAATATTTTATCTTCTTATTAACTCATTAAAATGAATCTCGGTCCTCGTGCAACCCTTAATAGCACTCTCTTTCCTCTTTCTATTCATTCATCTGAGTGATCTCACCTCTTCATATCTTTCTTCTTCTTCTACGACTACTAAAGAATTCTAGTTCTACCACTGCTAGTTTCTGCCCTGTATCACCTCCTCAATATCTGTGTTCTTTTACCTTAACTTTGATTGACACACTTTCACATTCACTTGGGTATTTTGCTTGTTCTATATCACATATCTCTATCTATCTATCTATCCATCATCAAAATCGATATTGAAAAACACAAAAAACATGGATTCTTCTCCTCAGAACTGGCTCCTCGGCTTCTCTCTTTCCAACCACTCTCATCATCATCACCCTTCTCCCGATCTCTCCCTCTTCGAGGCCTTCACCTCCAATTCACCCACCCACTCTGCAGGTCCCAAACTCTCTCTCTCTCTCTCTCTCTCTCTCTCTCTCTCTCTCTCTCTCTCATTCTATTTTTTTTTCTAACACATATCAATCTTTATTTTTGTCTTGCAGCTACCGTCGCCGGTCATCATCATCAAGGTGCAAGTCCAACTTCAGCACCGACCTCTCCATCTTCAGTTCCGGAATTAACGGACCAAAGCTCGAGGATTTTCTCGGAGGTTGCACCCCCGCAGCCAACACCGTCACCCCGACCTCACTCCCTCAGTTTGCTACTGCCGATCATCATCATCAAATCACTCCTCTCGCTTTGTCCCAAAACGAGATTTACGACTCCGAACTCAAAACCATAGCCGCTAGTTTCCTCCGTGGTTTCTCCACCACCGCTACCACCACCACCACCGCTGCTACTTTACAAACGACCAAACTACAGAACCACCACCCTCTAGCCTCTTCCGATCCCACCCCCAAAAAACCCGCCGATACCTTCGGCCAACGCACATCCATTTACCGCGGAGTCACACGGTAATGCTCTTAACTACTAGAGCTACAACTTGCAAGTTCATATCTTTTATGAGTTATTTTAGTATTTTATTTTAAGAGAATTTTTGCTTATTATTACTAATTTTTGTTTGTTTGGGGGTTGAATATTTAGGCATAGGTGGACCGGAAGATATGAAGCGCATCTGTGGGATAACAGTTGCAGAAGAGAAGGACAAAGTAGGAAGGGCAGACAAGGTAATTTTCATTATTTTACTACTAATCTCCTCTAGGGTTTTAAGGTTCTTTGTGGCCCTCTTTGATTCTAACGTGCGCCTGAGGTGTACAATATACGATACAATATAAATGGGTCCACTGGATCTTTTGGGTCTAGCTCTGTGAAAGGTGCTGATCATCCATTAATGGATCCTCTAGCGCATGTTAGATTTGAAGTGGCTACATTTGCTTATGGTGAGCATCGTGTTTTTAGTTTCATGAGTGGGCAAAGATTCTGATGTGGGTTGTTTGCTTTGCGGCATGTACACGACTTAAATGAATCATCATCATCGACCTCATTTCTGCAGTTTATTTGGGTGAGTAATTTCACTTTTTACTGTTTCTCTTTTCTGTAAGAACTATTTACCGCCATGATAATGAATATCATTATAATCAAGTACATGTGAATGCATATGATCATCAAATTTTAAGATCCACTATAGATTTGGTTAGTGTAGCACAAATATTCTTTGCATGAATGCATCAAATCGTGGGTCAGATTCTATTTAGATTCTCATTGTTGAAAATGTAATTAAATAAATATTTATTTTCATTGTTTTAATTTTGTAAATATTTGTAGGTGGATATGATAAAGAAGAAAAGGCAGCAAGAGCCTACGATCTGGCAGCTCTCAAGTACTGGGGTCCGACCACCACTACAAACTTTCCGGTGAGCTCAGCTGCATGCAATAACTATTTATCTACATTGTACTTCACTTATTTTATTTGAAATGCTTTGATCTAACTTTATGATCAAATTTGAAGGTTATTAACTACGAGAAAGAATTGTCGGAGATGAAGAACATGACTAGGCAAGAATTTGTTGCTTCTCTTCGGAGGTACTTGATAATTATAACATTTCTATGGTTTTTTTATTCCATGTATATTTATATGTTTTTTGTTTATATTTATTTGTTTTTTAGGATAGTTTATTTGGTGTTAGTTTTATGAAAGATTTGGTGGTTTATGTATTTTGGCTTTTCTATGTTGTAGGAAAAGTAGTGGATTTTCTAGAGGAGCTTCTATTTACAGAGGGGTCACAAGGTTTGTGGTTCCCAAATAGTTTATTGTTTATTTTATAGTCGATTTTAAATTAGGACCTAATTGAACTAAATAATATTTTCTTTTCCTAATATAAAACCCAATTATTTATTTCAGGCATCATCAACATGGTAGATGGCAGGCAAGAATAGGAAGGGTTGCAGGCAACAAAGATCTCTACCTTGGAACTTTCAGTGAGTCTCTTAACCCTTTTTAGAGGATTTAAAACTGTAGTCGACTGTTTCTAATTAATAAGGACTTTAATCAAACAGGCACCCAAGAAGAAGCTGCTGAGGCCTATGACATTGCGGCAATCAAGTTCCGAGGCCTAAATGCTGTGACCAACTTCGACATGAGCCGCTACGATGTGAAGAGCATTGCCAGCAGCAACCTTCCCATAGGAGGAATGTCCGGAAAATCCAAAAACTCATCAGACTCCGACAGTAAGAGCATCGAAGGTAACCGTTCAGCGGATGATCGAGATCTCTCCTCTGCATCCTCCGTGACCTTTGCATCTCAACAACCTAGTTCCTCCACACTAAGCTTTGCAATCCCCCTCAAACAAGACCCATCATCAGATTACTGGTCCAACATTTTCGGATATAACCCTTCTCAAAACAATACCAAGAACCCTACTACTGTTTCAGTTGCACCATCATCATCATTGTTCCAGTCACGTGCCATTGGGTCTTATGGTAACAATTCCTCACCAATACCATTCAACATGGACTTCTCTTCAACTTTTAGCACTTCTGCTTCTGAAACCAACAATGGGTACTTTGGTAACTTCAATATAGATGGTCAGCAACACCAAGAACAGTTGCAACACCACCAACATGAACAAAGTACTATTACTGGTAGTGGTTCAATCCCATTTGCTACACCCATTGCTTCAAATAGCAACAATGGTTATGAAACTTCTTCTGGTTATGGAAGTTGGATTGCGCCAAGTATTCACACATTTCAGACTCATGCAAAGACCAATCTCTTTCAGACACCAATTTTTGGGATGGAATAATTTGGCTGATATGTGTTAGGGGTGAATGTGAGGGTGAGAGATTTATATGGCATGAGTACATCACAATTTGTTTTCGCTACCATGAAATGGAATTGGAGGACAAATGAAAGAGGACAATGTTTGGGGTTTGCATGCACATGGGAGTCAACAGCTTTAGTTGAATAGAGATGTGAGGTGGACTGGCAGTCATAGATCATAATCCACACAGGCTGACACTGTGTACTAACTCAACTTCTTGTGCCAAGATGGTGCTTCCTTTTTGTTTTTGTTTTTTTATCCTTTATCTCTTTTTGGTTCTTTTAGCTTTTTCTTTTTCTCTCTCTTTCGACTGACATGATTTTATATGGGTATAAAAGAAAAAGAAATCCTTTTGTAATCTGTTCTTGTCCTTGTTAGTATCAAATTATCCATGTGAAAAATGGAAGAAGAACAGATCTGTTTTTTGTAAAAGATCTTTATATGCTTACAAGGAGAAGCAGCGTTTACATCAAGATCGATCATAATTATGTACATGTCATGCTTGGCTATACCAAGTTAGATAATACAATACATGAACTGTTTAGGCAACACAAATGCAAATACAATTCAAAAACTGTTTGGGTAACGCATCGGAATTGTATTTGTAGTAGTTGGTGTCTTTGACGCCGGACCATATTAATTAAAAAAGGTTAAAGATTTTGGAAACGTGGGTTTAACATAATAATATGTTCATTGGGTCCACTAAATACTACAAAAGGTTGAAACTCTTTTGCCATGCTTAGAAATATCCTATGGAAGTAGGAAAGAAAAACATTGTATTCTTTATTTTTGGCGTATGCATATTCTCAGGTCGAGAGCATGGCCAAACCTAGGACTAGGAGTCGGCTTCTGTAAAGCCAAAACAGTGAAGTGAACTGTAAAGTGTGTATTTATGCTTGTTGGTTGGTTGGTGCTCTTATCATGCTATACTTATATTGACACTCAAACGATGGTCCTGTTGAAAAATGAATGAACGTTATCAATGTTTTAGATTTAAAGTTTGACAACAGTGTTATGATGTCACACGGTACTTTCACAAAAATGACATTTTTCTCTACTTGTTATTGGTTTTTAGGTTGTTCATAGTGAAGTATGTGGGAATTAGAAATTAGATGAACAATGAATCCAAAATTGACCAGACAAAGTGGAATATATATATATATATATATATATATATATATATATATATATATATATATAAACTACCTATTAACAAAATCATTTTTGTCAATCAAAAGAGGGTGAAGAGATAATTTTGTCACAGCCCGTCCTGGGATTTTATTTATCGAGGACGTGAAATGACGGGATTACCCTTAGCGGTTACTAAGGTATGTGTGTGTGACACATTATTGGTCTAAATACATATTTCATAAGCTTTAAAAAATTATTTAAGTTGGATTAAAAATTTGGGTTGTAAATTTGAGTGGTTAGGGAATGAAGTTGGACTGGTTTTGGGATGGACCACACACATATACACACGGGTCAAACCTCTCTCTCTCCATCCCCCGTGCTCTCTCCTCTCTGTTTCAGTCTCACTCTCTCCCTCTCGAAAACGTACGGACAAAGCACCAAACCCTTGAACCTTCACGGATCGACGCCAAAAAGGTAAGATTCTTCATCCTTTCAACCTCCTGAGTTTTTTGGTACTAGTTTTAGAACGGGAAACCTTAGAAATCACGTTGAAAACCCGAGGTCCGATTCGAGTACTGTTCATGCATTCGTGATGTGTTGATTTTCAAGGAATTCTAAGCTTATAGTGAGCTTAGTGAGGTCCTAAGGAAGCTTGGAGTACTTAGTTTGAAGGTTTTGGACGTCAGGATCGTTGAGTTCGAAGTTGGCAGGTTTTCTTGGAATTTCTCCGGTGAGATTTCGTAGTTTTTAGAGCCTTAAAGTAGTGTAACGTGATTTTACATGCTTAGGGCTTCATTTTGATATAAAATACGTGAAAAATGGTTGAGAAATGACGGAGAACAAGGAGATTGAAAAATCACTAGTTTTTCGGCGACCGGCGAACCAGTCCGGCGACTGGAGGTTAGGGGTGATGCGCGTGGACCCGTGCCCATCCCGGCGAGTGGGGGCACGTGCGGCCTCGAAATTTTTTTCTAAAAATACCTCGACGTCACGGACGTCGAGTAGGTCACTGTGGTATATTCATATACCCAAATTGAGCATCGTATGAGAAGTTATTGCGAATTGTCGGTTATGTGCTTTAAATAACGTTATTTTAGTTGTTTCGCATATACGTGAGACCTATCCCGAGGACGAGCGCATCCAGGGACGTCACGGGGGTTACGACCCTTCGACTTATCAGTGAGTGGACAGTTATTTTCTGTATTTACCTATATACTATTGATTTTCCCAGAAATTGAATTTAAATGTAAGTATGTTTTTCAAATGCCATGCATGCATATTATGAATTATATGAATTAGTAATTGATGCATATATATATATATATATATATATATATATATATGTGAATTGGTGCTGTGGACGCACAGGTGAGTATCAGGTGAGTTTTATGTTAATCATGTGAATTGTTGATAATGTGAATTATGTTGAAAGCTCATAACCTGCACCCCTGGTGTTAGTGCTTATAGTATTCACCGCACCGCACACTCACCTTGGATCCAAGTAGGTGCATGTCGTACAGACCATGAGAGGGTTCTGACATGCTAGTCGTACAGATCACTAGAGGTGGTTCCGACTGGTAGGTGACCTTAGATTATGCGCGCAGATGATTGATGAGAGAAGAGCGTATTCTTACACCTTTCTTGTCGTACAGACTACTTCAGGTAGTTCCAACTTATGTGCAGAGTAGCGCGGTACAGGTCACCGTGGTGACTCCAGCTGGGTTGGATATTGAGCTATAGAATTAATCGTACAAGACCAACTGCAAGGTCTTCGGTTGATTCATTATGTCACATGTTATATTGATCCATCCATATTCTGTCATTAACATTTATAGCATGGCATACTTGCTGGATTTTGATAAAGATTGATGTTTTGTGAGATTTGAACAAATATTATGCTATTATGTTATTTTATGGGAAAGTATACAGGTTTTACAGTGAGGGGTTAGAAATGTTTTAAATGAAATGTTTTGGGAAACTTTGGTTTTACTGACCCACTCAATTTTGTTTTGCGCCCCTCCAGGTTCTAGATAATAGCGTTGGTGGCCCACGAAGATCCCCACGGTGTACTGACAGACTACATAAATGTAGGACTCACCTGCGGGTGTTGTAACTTAGTTATGGTCCTACTTGACTGCACCTAGTATTTATGCTCTGAATTTGTGTGTTTTACACTTAAACTTACTCTCGCATGCTAGTTGGATATTATTGCTAGTATTTGGTTTTTGTTAATTCGTATTTCTCTTATCTTTTGCTTCCGCGTCGCACTTTTGGTTACGTCACACTCATGTGACGGCCAGCACGCCTTGATTATAGGATTGGGGTGTGTCAGTTTGGTATCAGAGCCTAGGTTGCAATCCTGTATAAATTGTTAATCCTCTAATGATCTTTTGGTGTCTTCTGTCAGAACTATGCCACCTCGTAGGGAATCACGCCGTGCTTCTGAGTCTAATTTCCCTGATATAGCTCAATTAGGGGAAGCAATGGCCCATGCCTTTCAGAATGCAATCCGTCCTCCTCCTCCTCCTCAGAGAACACCCCTGGAGACTATGTATAATCTGAAATTGGACCGTTTCATGGGTAATGAGGGTTATGAAGGGGCAGAAAAATGGTTAGACCATATTGAGAAGACTTTCCAGGTGATGCAGAGTCAAGGGAATCTTCCTGCTAATAGATGGGTGGAGACTACTACTTGGTTTTTAGGACGAGAACCAACAGCTTGGTGGGTTAATCAGACTAAGTTTATGTCGCCTAAGATGGCAACTGACTGGGAAGTATTCAAAGAGCATTTTATGAAAAGATTTGTTCCGCCGGAGTACATTGATCATAAGAAGCAAGAGTTTACTCATCTGAAGCAAAAGGATATGTCGGCGCATGAGTATTACAGGAAATTTACAGACTTATCTCGTTATGATCCTGATACAGTTGATAATCATGCAGAGATGCTTCGCCGTTTTAAGCTGGGAACTAAGAAGAAATGGCGAACTTTTGCTAGTACGCTTCCTTGCACCGATTATCATGAGTTTTCTGAGATTTTGGTTTGGATGGAAGATTCTGACAACCTTCCTAGTAACAGTGAAGATGACGAAGATAAGAATGATAATCAGAAGAAAGATGATAGGGGTAAAGGTATCTCTACTCAGGGACCCCGTAAGACACAGAATTTCAAGAAAAATGGAGCGAGCTCGAGTTCTTCCAGTGGAGGATTTAGTGTCACAGGCCCGATGAGAGGTGGAAGATTTGCTGGTGGACCCAGGTTTCAGAGACAAAGAGATTTTGGTGGTGCTGGTGGTTCTGGTGCTCCGTTGTGCCGCCGTTGTAATTTCAGACATCATGGAGAGTGTAGGAGAAGTGGTGGTGCTTGCTACACTTGTGGACAGATGGGACATAGGGCTGCCCAGTGTCCCCAGAGTCAGCAGAGATCTTAGCAGTCTACTATGCCACTTCCAGCGCCGATTCAGCAGAATTTTGGATCAGGCAGTTATGGTCAGACGAGTCGTGGTGGTGCTTATCACTACCAGGGTGATACTACTCCCTATGCTTCCGGACAGTATCAGTATCCCCAGGATCCTTATTCTCAGACTGGGTATTCCCAAGACCCTGGAGGTTATACTTCTTATTCTTCCGTCCCAGCTAGTGGATCTCAGTGGCATCAAGGAGGTCAGCTCCGACAGGGAGAAGTTACTGCTAACATTGCAGGACCGCCTAGGTAGTCTAGTTAGTCAGGACAGGGACGTACTTCTCAGGGGCGAGGTAACCAAGGCAACATAGGTCGTAGTAGACAACAACAAGCTCAGGGACATGTTAATCACATCTCACTGCAAGATGCTCAGAATCATCCGGACTTGATTATGGGTACGTTAAATATTCTTGGTCACTTTGCTAGAGTTTTGATTGATTGTGGTGCTACACATTCTGTGATTTCTCATACGTTTGCTCAAATGACTCAACCTCACCCTACACCTCTAGGATTTGATTTAGAGTTTTCTATGCCTAGAGGGGACAAATGTTATGTTGATAGTGTTTACCCAGGGTGTCCAGTGATGGTAGATGGTGTGGTTATGCCAGCTAATCGTATCCCGTTAGATATTGTGGACTTTGATGTGATTTTAGGGGCAGATTGGTTGCATTATAATCGTGCCCATATAGATTGTTACGGGAAGTCAGTTACTTTTCATCGTCCTAGACTACCAGAGGTTACTTTTATGGGTGAAAGCAGTGGGGTGAGACATGGTGTTATTTCTGCCATGAGAGCAAAGAAGTTGTTATTGAAAGGTTGTCAAGGATACTTAGCACATGTGGTGTTAAATGATGTTGTTCCTAGCAGTGTGGAGGAAGT